ACATGTTTTTCTAACATCATGAAAGTAATTAACCTCAGATGGTAAAACTACTTTTAAGGTTACCTGTTAGAGCCATTTAAAGGGTTTTCATTGGTCACTAAGAATTGTTAAGGAGGATTATATTACATAAAGTTTTGCACATTCTAGCATCACACTTTTTAAGGAATCATGAAGCAAACCAAGTTTTCATGTGCTTTGTAGGTTATATGTTACTCTTTAATGTTATTTTCATAATTTTCTTTAATTCAATGATGTAACTTGCCCTCAAGAAATGCACCAATCTGGGCAAAATAAGAGTTAAACAAAATGAAGACAACAAAGAGAACGAATGGACTCAAAAGAGAGGAAATAAGATAACCTATGTTTAACTCAAAAGTTCAAATTTGCAATGCATTTTGCATTATGTTCTCAATTGTGCTGCAGAATAACTTGAAGATAAAACAATTTGTTTGTGTGAATCATGTGTCTGTAACAAAAGAACTTGAAATACTGGTTTTTGATCAGAATGATTTTCAGCTGTGAAGAAGTCCAAGTAAATACCTTTATAAATTAATATATATACAGTCATCTAGCTTCAGGAAGAGATGCAGAGGTAGCTCTAGCCTCTTCCTGGCGAGGGGTTGAGGTGGACTAAAATGAAATCTTTACTAATCATGCAGAGTACAAACAATCCTCCTTTTTGTGAGTTTTGCATAAGGACTGCCTAGTAAATATTTCTTTAACTACCAGTCAATGTCACTACAACTATTCAAATATACAGACATGTAAACAAAAGTGTCCAACACCATTCACATTAAAAGAAAAAACATTTGTGCTTTTCATTGGGTGTGGGGGCTAAAGGACAGGCTACCTACACTTACCTCTGATTTCTTGAAGCTGGAGTATATTTATCCTACATATTCCAAATTCACTGTGATAAGCAAAGCAAGATGAGCATTTTGTTCAGAAAATTTAACAGCTCAGGTTTATATTTACTGGAAAGGGTCAGCTTTTGGCACTAACTTTGAGAAAGTTCTACTTGATGCCTTAACTGTGCATTATATTTAGAAATACCAAGAAGATATGGAACTTTTTTAATGTGTACCACAGCAATAAAATACTTTTTTTTATAGAAAGGTCAGTCAAGGTCATTTAGTCCATTAAAATCACCCTTTCACCATCAAAACTACCAACCATAGAATTAAAACTAACATTAATTGATTACTAGCATAAGCCCTAACCATTAAGTCACAAAGAGAACTTAAAACAGAAGTTATGGAACAAGGTCTTACCAAATATTCATACCTAAAAGGAATCACTCTACATTTGTTATTTGTGATAAGCAAGACTGTCAAAATCCTTCCACATTAAGGAAGCAGCTCAATATCATCAGCTGATTAAAATAATCTTATCAATTACACAGTATTCCATATCACTGGGAGATAATAAATAACAAATTTCCCATAAGAAGTATGTGAAGGATCCAAATAGTTAACTGTTCCCAATCAATATGGTGCCCATTTAAAACGGCCCTCTGTTTTCCACCTGCAAGCCATTTTTAATCCATCTTCAAATTTTCCCCAATTCTGTAAAATCAAATTTACTAATTAAGTTTTTGTGAGAAATCTTATAAAAAGCCTTCTGAATATCTAAATGTACATCAACAGGAGTACCTTTATTCCAATGAACAAAAGTCCTATCAAAGAGAGCTCCTTTCTAACACCGTGCTGATAATTTGTAATCAAATTTAACATTCAAAAGAGCTTTTTTTTTCAATCACCCCCTCACAATGAATTCCAACAGTTTACTAACAATGGAAGACAGACTCATTGGCCTGTAATTTCTTGGATCTTACTTAGATCAATTTCTTTTTGAAACTAAAAAACAGATATCAAATTGGTACCTTCCAACCATCATGGATTTTCTGTATGTCCAAAGACTTCTGGAAAACTTTTTCTAAAGCTTCACCAACTCATTGCTTATACTCTTTCAAGTCTTAAAGATAAATTGCATCAGGATCAAGATTAATGTTTCATTAATTCCGAGCTGGTTAAGAAAAAATTGGGAAGTTTAAAGAACAATAAGGCTCCTGGGCCAAATAATATTTCCCAAAGAGTTTTGAAGGAGGTTAAAGATTTGATATGTGAGCCACTTGCTACTATTTTTTCAGTCCTTGAATAGTGGGCAGGTATCAAAGGATTGGAAGTTAGCTAATGTAACTCCTCTTTTCAAGGTAGGTGATAAAACTTGTTTCAGTAATTATAAACCCATTAGCCTTATATCAGTTGTGGGAAAAGTTTTGGAAAGTCTGATAAAAGATACTTTGCAAAGTCATTTAACAAAGTTTAGAATTTTATTGGATAGTCAACATGATTTCACTAAGGTAGAATCTAGCCTTACAACTCTTTTGACATTCTTTAAAAGGATTACTTCTTATGTAGATGAGTGTAAGAGTGTAGATTTGGTGTATCTGGATTGTCAGAAAACATTTGACAAGGTGCCACATAAAAGGATTGTAAAAAAAATTTATCTCTATAGGTGTGAGGGATAAGCTAGCAAATTGGATAGAAGAGTGGCTGGATAGAAGAAAGCAGAGAATTATTATAAATGATGTTCAGTAAAACTGGATTAATGTCATAAGTGGGGTACCTCAGGGCTCAGTCTTTACATCAATGACACAGATGAAAGAATAATCAATAAATTATATAAATCTGCAGATGATATTAAGGTCTTGGGTGTTGTTAGCTGTAAAGAGAATGCTGCTGATTTACAAAAGGATTTAGATTATTTAGTGAATTGGGCAAATAAATTGCAAATGGGTTTTAATTATAATAAATGCAAGATAATGCACGTGGATTATCATAATTTGAAATATAAGTATAATTTGGATGGGAGTAATCATAACAGTGTCATGAAAGAAAGGGATCTCGGTGTAATAGTTGATCAGTCTCTAAAGACATCCAAGCAGTGTGCTATTGCTAGTGGTAGAGCAAATAGGATTCAAGGTTGTATCTACAGAAATATTAAATACAAGTCTAAAGAGTTTATATTTCATTGTATAGGTCACTGGTTAGGCCACATTTAGAATACTGTCCTCAGTCTTGGGCTCCTTACCTAAGGAAAAACATTGAATTGTTGGAAAAGGTTCAGAGAATGATGCCTGGGATGGTGGGATTGACATATGAGGATAGGCTGAAATGTCTCAAATTGTTTTATCTTGAAAAAAAGGACAGTTAGGGGGGATCCGATTGAGGTGTTTAAGATTGTAAAGAGAATTTCTAGTGTTGATACATCATCTTTTATCATACTTAACAGTGAGAATAGTAGGACTAGGGGACACAAATATAAATTTTGGCAGGGTAGGAGTCATCTTCACCTAAGACAGTTTTATTTTTCTAACAGGGTGGTTGGGCTTTGGATGTTGTAGAGGCAGTAAGTTTAAGTGAGTTTAGGAGAAAGCTTGATAAGTATATGAATGATAAGGGCTGGCTTTAAGATTTAAAAGAAAAAATTATCCATAATTTTAGTCTAGTTTAGAGGATGGAACAGCCAAAACTGACAAAAAGTTATGTTATGTTAACTACCAGTAATAGACTAATAGTAATAGTGTAGCAGTCTGCCCTAGAAGAAGAAAGATCCACCTTTCAAAAGCAACTTATAGGGTTTCGCATAACTGTGTATAAGTGGCATTAGCCACGCAATGTAATATAACTTGTAATGTTGCATACAATAACTGAGTTATTGAATAACTCACTTATGCAGTGTAAACTATAAATGTAATAGTAATACGAATTCAACTAATGTATTTCTATTACTATTAGTTTCAGTTGTAGTATTAACTTGTATAGGCCTCACATTAACACGAATAACTGTAGTTTATACACAGTGTATCATATCACATTTAGTGATTTACAATGGTTGACATTATAAATGACAATATAAATATATATCACTGTGTCACTCTCACTGTCTCAGTTTAATTTGTTCCACAGATTAAACTATATATGACTATGAGTACGAGGGTAATTCTCATGCAAAACACGTTATTACCTGGATTTAAACTGTGTCCACCTTTTTGGAAACCTTCTTTCTTCCTATTTTTTCTCATCTTTGTTTTAGACATTTTAAATCAAAGATAAATTTAGATATCCACAATTCAGAAACTAAAAACTCACGAATAAGTTAACACGTGGGATCATGCCCGATACAAACGCCCAACTTGATCACCAGAGGGCATCAAAGCGAGTGGTATTTAATTAATCGTTCTTTCCTTCTTTTTTTTCCTTTTTTGTTCAGTCATTTTCTTGAACATAGTAGATGTAACATGTACAGATCTATATAATTTCATATCATATCAGTAGATTTATTAATCTAATGGATGATAAAGTTTGTTTTTGTTTTTTTAGTATCAAATGATGAATGGTTGGTTAATTAGTAAACACTGTAGTGTGGTAACCTCCATCTCACTGATATATACCTTTTCCGGTAGTAATCGCAAATATTAGTAGTAATTAATGACCAGGATACGCTTTACTGACTTCTGACTGAGTTGAAGAAAAAAGGAATTGCACATAGTGTTGTGTGACAAAGTGTAAAACATTATTTATTTATTTCAAAAATAGTCGAAGTGATGAGGACACAGGTCGAATAAATAATTCTTATACTGGAGATATTTTGTAACTATTGTTTAGAGAGTAAGCTATTATTTTGTTTTTCCGTCCTCAGACTAAAGTAGTTGTCATTATCAAACTAAAGAGAATATATGCAGCATTAATTATTTGATACTACTTATATTATTAATGAATTGAATATGCCTATATTACCGAAATAAAACACGTAATTCAACTTTACTTAAATTAAGCAGCAAGGAAAAACAACAAGAACAACTGAGTGTCATATGCATACAATAGTTTTAGGTTTAGCAACAACAGTCTATAAACAGTATTAACAACTTTAACTTTCATAACGCTTTGCAGACCTTTTGTCCTGCAAAACTTTATTAAAATTGTTTTTAAAATGTGTAGGTTTTAAACATAGTATACTTGTATGGTGTATTTTATTAAATGTTGTTATACCATATTAGTATCTTTTAATAACCTATTGAAGTATGACAAACACATTTCACCACTTTAACGTTCTGACACCTGCTATCCAGTCGGAGCGGTTGCCCGATGTCTGACGCCAGCTCCCGAGAGAGAGTGACAGAGTGTGTGTTGGGTGGTCTGAAAGAGCTCTACTAGTGGATACAGGGGATAACAAACAATCAGAATGTTCACTGATATTTTGAGAGTTTGATTATGAAAGCCACATAACTTGAGGCGTAAACTGGATAACTTACTGTTACGTCTCCGTATGTTTGTTTGTTAATTTTTGGCGATACAAGTTCTTTCTTAAATAAAACTTGTTTATTCTTCCTCAATACAACTTCACAATACACTTAATTTTCACAGTTACACACACTATAGTTCACAACAATTCACTCACTTTCTACC